AATGCATGCTCCTAGAACCTCTTGTGGAATGCTGGTTAGGAGCTGGCTCATGCCATGTGTGAAAGGGATGCTGGAGGCACCTCTCTGAATGGATCATTCTGGCAAAGACTGATTCAGAGAATGTGGTATAGATTTCAAGGCTTACATGAGAACTTCTGTTTCCTGTCCCTTGAATTGAGATAGACCTTGTGTGAGGTGTCTCCTCAGTTGCCAGTGGAGATGTGAAGCAGAGAAAATGAGACATGGCCAGCTAAGTCCAGAACAGTCAGCCCTGTGTAAGCCTGGGACAAAAGAGAAAATGTAAGTATCCTGCTTTGGAGCTGATCTTCTAGTCACACTCTGCTGTTCCACATTGTAAAATGAACATCCTAATGAACATCCTGGCCCTGACCAAAGAGGTGAATAGCTCCTTCTCTCTTGTGGCCAGGGAGGGAACTGAAAATCATCACTTCTTTAGATTCCTTCTCAAAATGTGGAATCCTCTAAATTAGAGCCACTAGATTTAACAAATAGAAATATTGGACACCTAGCTAAATTTGAATTTCAGATTGGTAAAGAATCACTTTATAATATAATAATGTCACATGTAATATTTGGGCCATGATTATACTAATATATCATTTACTATGTATTTGAAACTCAAAGTTAACTAGGCATTTTGTATTTTATCTGGCAACCTTATTGCCATTAGTTTTTTCAGGTCAGTTTCATGATGGTTTATTGAGACTGATATAATTGGATTTGCAACCTTGGTATTATTGACATCTGGGTCTGGATGCTTCTTTGTCATGGGAGGTTGTCCTGTATGTCGTAGTATATTTAGTTGCATTCTTGGCTTCTACTCACTAAATGCCATGAACACCTGCCCTGTCTCTACTGTGACAACCAAATATGTTTCTGGATATTGCAAACTGTCCCCTGGGGGAGACAAAAATCACCTCTAATTGAGAACTGCTGCTTTAGAGATAGTGGCAAAAGCAGGATTGTGAAGCCTGTCAAGGTGGTAGATCAGAAGGTGGCTTTTTATCCAAAAATGATGCAGGCTGGTCCTTCCCTGCCTGCACTCTCACCTCGTCTTCACACTCTGGACTGCTTCCCTATAACGTTAGGAGCTGTCTAGACCTATGTAGAGGAGCCCAATAATACAATTTTAATGCCATATGGATTATAGTCACTAGAAAGTCATTCTCTGTTCACTTTACCTTTCTGTACAGCTCACATGAGGCTATATATGATAACTCTTTAGCTTTAACTGAGATATTTTCTTCAAAGAATCTTGCATTTTATCAGAGGTCATTCGTTTGTGTAGCCTGGGTGAATTTAGCATTTAATGGGCAAAACCCTTATAGTCAAACTACCTTACGAAAGTATACATATTATTTTTTTGCTCCATTTTGTAGAAGGAGAAACTTGGAGGCAATGGATAATGAATTCTGTTCTTCAAACATTTCCACCTACACATTTATCCTGGAAAAAAATGCTGATATGCCTTTATGTGATATTTCCTATTTGTAAGGCATCTCTGTCTGAATATGTTTTCATACTGCTTTGGAGAAAACTAAAGTGGCTTTAGCTGTATTAACTTTGATTGTCCAGCATTGATAATTAATTTTGTAGGCCTATCAGCTTACGCAGTAGGAAAGTTTTATTAGCAAGTTAAATGTAACTGGTTTCTTCATTGCTTTCCATATTTTGTAGGCTTTTAGAGAAGCAATGGTTTTGTAAAAATCCATTGAGCAAAGCAAAGACAAAGTAACTATCTGGTTATATTGCTATAGGAAGAAATCTGTCTCAATTCTCTATAAAGGTTGTATCTCCTCAAATCTCTCTTATTTAGTGTTCTTCTTTAAATAAGAACATTCTTTCCCTAAGAAACCCACCTTAAAGAATAACATCTTTATTTGCAATCACAGGTCTTCATCATTGCAGAAAAATTCTGATCCTTCTCAGATTCTGATATTTGTATTTAATCAATAACCATATTCCTTTTTCATCTGTCTTACCTCTGCAACTGCATTTTCTCAGCCTTGTACTTTTTATTGTGTAAGAATTCAACTGAAAGAGCCATTCATGTTTGCAAAAAGGATGATGTTTTATTATTGGTTATAAAGGAAAGAAATTTCAAATTTTGTACAACCAACCCTTTTTGTTATAGCACAGTGAATTCTGAAAGTGGGGAACAAGTTAACAGACTGGAAAGAGAGGCCACAGAAAGATCTTGTAGTATTCTGACCACATTATAAATAAAATAAGACCTGGCAATTTTTATGTCTCTAGATAACAAGCATCCAATTCATATTTGAAATGCATAATCTTTGTACAATTTGAGGGTAGGTAGACTAGAAAGAATAAGAAGATGATGATCAAAATATTTAAGAACAATATGGCATGACCTGATTAATGACTCCAAAGACCATACTATTGAGACAGGATTGCTATAGGAGACCATTCTGCATGGTGTGGGCCCAGTTCCCACTTAGAGATGCACAGGACCCACACCCATGGATAGGTTTCTTGGGAGAAATAAGGTTTGCATTGTACTTAGGCTGCTTTGAGACTTGCTTCTGCTAAAACTCCCTCACCCTGAATTGAGGCAGCAAGTGCATACTGTAACTTCCTAAAGTCTGTGCTAAACCTCCCCAGTATGGAGTGTAACTGGTTCAACCACTTTTCCCTTTTCATTTGCAAATATGCTTCTTCTGTGATGTAATTAGTTGCATCTTCTCCTTCATCTTCTGTAAAAGGTAACCACCTAAAGTGAACCTGTGCAGAGTAAATGAGGACAATCATGTAATGTGCCCCAAAAAAGAAATAAAGGCTTGTCATGGCAAGGGCCAAGCCTTTTTCTCCTCTTGAGAGAGAAGCCATGCTATCTTTTTTCCTCCACAGGACTTGGTAGTCCATGTGAATTTCTCATATCTCATCTTCAATGTGGCAGACCCCACAAGCTGGGGTCTGCATCAGATTGCAAAGGCCAATTGTTCTTCTTTTAGTGACTGGACCATGGGGATGTGGACAGGACCTTGTAGAGAGGCCAGGTTGACTGGGGATGTGAGGGAAGCACTAAGAAGGCTCAAGGAAGTAACTGTTTATGAGCAAGTCCAGTGATATTTTAATGTTTGAACAATTGAAACAGTTATACCGCTGTATACCAGCTGGACTGAAAAGTAGAGACTTTTGGAGTGGTGCAGTGTAGTTAGAAAACTAGATCACCAGTTAGAGTTCCTGACACTATCATTTACTCACTGCATGGTCTTGGATAAGTCAGTTCTTGAGACATCTATTTTATCTTGTGAAACATGAGAATATTAGATAGGAAGAGCCTTAGGTTCCCTTCCTGTTCTAAGAATATGGTCCTGCCCACAAATGATCTGCAAGTTCTATGCATAGAGTATAAAATTATTTCGGAGCTTCTGAAAAGCAGGGGCTGGTGTTTCATAGGAATGCAGGGCAGACCATGCTCTTTGATTTGTGAAAATGTCACAGTCCAACAGGACTGAAGCCAGTGGGAACCATCACTGCACTGTGCTGTCAGAAGCAAGATAAGAACAGTTAAATAGTTTTTATAGACAGACTAAAAATATTTTTTAAAGCTTAATCATTTTCAATGTTTGGAGGAATTTACTGCAAAGTAGGAAAATGTGTTAGTTTACCACAGAAACCAAATAAATATCGCTTTTGTTTGAAATGAACTAAGTCAAACAAAAGCAGGTACTTTGAAGTTTTTGTTGTTTGCCTAGATTGCAAAAAGTTCCCTTAAATCTTCACTTTTGTGTTCTTTGGTTATTGATATATTATATAATTTTTTTATATTCAATGAGTATATTGCAGTATCTCCATGGGACTATATAAGCACACCTTGATAAGTAATGTTTTGCCTACAGAAAGTGAGAAGAGTCCAATATAACTTCAACCTAGATGTGTTTTTCCCCAAAATTGTTTGTTTTAATTTGGTTGAGTTGAAAATTACTTTCTAATTTACATCAGATATTTAAAAAACTTTTATATTTATGAGGAAGTATTCATCATAACTATTACTTTAATTATCAGGAGAAGAAAAAATTATGGTTTCTAAAGTACATGCTATATTAGAAAACCTGTACATGTATTTCTTTGGATTGCATATACATATGATAGTAAAATGAACTGGTTCTGTTTTAATATCTTGTGGCTTATTGTACCTGACAAATAGAAATAAGGAAAATGAAGAATTGATTAGGTCATTTTCTTGAAACTTGCACATAATTCCCATTTATGCTTGTTAGTTAAAGAAGAGCCATTCTACAACAAATTAAGAATATGCATAACTTTTTATGACATAGTCATAGACATATAGTAATACAGTCTAGAATTATAGTACTCTATCAAAGTACATCATATTCAAAAGTCACTAGAGATGTCTTAAATACATCTGTTGTAATTATGGGAACATGGTTTCTAATTTATTTAATTCCTTTTCCTACCTAAAGTGTATATATAAGTGAACTTTAAGAGACTGTATAAATACATTTTTAATTACAAAATGATGTTATATAATACATTATTAATAATGACCAATAATGCATAATGTTTATGCATGAGTCCATTAGAAAAACAAGCTAATATATGTCAATTATAAAGGATGCACTAATTTGTCCTGAATCTGTGAATGAAGTTGAATTCATGCTGCAAGCCAGTGAGTACAATAGCACAGAGTGGTTTAGCATGCTGTTGTATAGTTAGGAAACATCTTGTAACCTATGGCACTTAAGAAGTATTTAAGATTTGTTCAACAGTTGTGATCAAGATCTTATTTTTCAGTGAGCCATGTGGTTGTAAAATTTGGAATAAGATTATTGAGTTGACAATACTAGTTTTCCCAAATAGGTAGAGAATAAAATGGTCCACAGCATTCAAGAAATGTGCACAGTCCTTCCATTCCAGCACAGGGAAATCAGTCTTCTTGTAATAGGATTTTCCTGGGCAGCCACAGGCTCTCCCACATCATGGAAACATCATTGCTAGCGGTAACAGATTTCTGAAATTTCCATGGCCAGCTCCAGACACTCGCCGGTCTCATGGCAAGATTCAAAGAGGCTGCAGTCCATGTCACAGCTGCAGTTGCAGTCATTTCGAGAGTGGCTTTCATCCGAGGTGTGGTGATACCTGTGAGAGGGGCAGCACAAGTTGGTACATACCACTTCACACGTATCGGGGAGCATCAGGAGACAATCCCAAAACTGGCAAAACAGACAGGCAAGGATAAGGGAGGCACACTCCTCTGTTTAAAGAAAAAGAAATAAAATTAATAGTGACACATATGAGGACATCTATGAAGGGCAGGTATGTTCAGTGACATACTTGATAACTTTATTAACTCAACTAGTTTGTCCACATTAGGTGCAATGTATACCATATTTTCTCACACTGTCCCATCCCCATGCTGTTCTCACTCTACTTAAGTAATGATTTTATTAACTTACCGGGCATTTCCTAATGATTCCACATAATCAGGTTGTTTAAAGTGCTGTCACTTTTCTAAACTCCATTATTGACTCGGCCTGCAGAGGTGCTGGGAAGCCACACAACCTGAAACCTTGTAACTGTCTATAAAATAGCTTGGGCAGAGTTGCCATCCCCAGTGCACAGAGCATTCAGGAGCAATTAGAATTAGGGACAGAGAAAGATACAAATTTCTGGATTCTCATCACAAGGCTTTCTTACTTGTTTGATGTTGATTTCCATAAATGTGCCACACCCATGTTAAAATGCAAGCAAATAACACATTTCAAAACCTAGTATCAGTAATTTTTAACTAATCCTGGGGGGGGGTTGTATTTTATTTTAATCTTGTGTTCTTTTTCCTCCAGTCATATAAAGTTTTGGTTTTATATTCATGTTAAAAAATATGTCATTATATTCCTACAGGGTATAAATCTTATCAATTCTCTTTAAGAAAATTGGTTTAAAATTTACTATGCAGACTATTAAAATCTGAAAAGGATCTCTAAGGACTTAAAGGTAATTGGTAATTCTAGGCAAACAGCTGTGATGGGTTATAGATTATTATATTTTTGTTATCATAAAGGGAATTAGTTAGAAGAAGTAGCAGTTCTCTTGTTAAAATTATAAGTTTTCTTTCCTTTTCGTTAAAAACATCTCCAAAACACGTGAGGATTTTGTAAAAACCTACTTAAGTGTTAGCATGACATATCTAGTTAATTAAAGTCAATAGCCTGAAAATGGTTGATGGTTAAAAGTAACATTCTACCATGAATTGGAGAAAAATGTCCCACTCCTGATGGGCTTATCAATCAACTAAAGTTAGACTTTCATAAAGATTTATTTTTCCCCAATAAGAATGTTAATAACTTTTGTTTTTCAGACTTGAGTTGACTGAGCCTGCAGGAGAGATTTTACTGTTTGAGTCTCTGCATCATCTGCTAAAGTGTACTAAGTATTCTTAAATTCCTACTCATTTAATTTTAACAAATTTTCCAGAAAACTTATTTTATTGTTCATACACTTGTTAATCTTTAAGAAAGAAATAAGCACATGAAAACTTTATTTTAAAAGGAATAAATGTTATAAAGAAAACTATTTTAATTTCCTTTAAAAAATACTACATAGCTATATAAACGTCTAAAGTGAGCCCTGCGTGGGGTAAACAGAAATCTTCTTTCCCATCTCTGTTCCTCTCCTCTGACCCTCCCCCCTCATTTCTTCCCAAATAAAATACGGTAAAGAACCACACCATAACTTTTATGACTACTTTAATTGCCATATATTATTGCAGGTGCTGTGGCCATTACCCAATATTTATAGTGCAGGTAGCATATTCCAGAAATGAGGAGTACATTCTCATCTCTTTGGCAGACTGGGTGTATTTTTATTCACTCAGAGCCAATTTTTTGCATGTGGCCAATTCACCCATATCTCATAAGTCCCTGAAAACCACCCACAAAAATTCAGGAGTAAATTAGTACAGTACATAGACTCCATTTTGTGTATGCATTTCTGAACAGGGTGAGTTGGTGGTGAAAGATCTGGAGTATAATACCTGATCAAGATACGCCAATGCCTCTATAGAGACAGGCTGACAGTGACCAGAGGGGAGGGGAGGGAATTTCAGGGGAAAAGGGGAAGGGTTTACAGAAAAAGTATAAAGAACACATGGACAAAATCTAGGGGGGTAGAAATGGGAAGGCAGGGGAGAGGGTTGGGGGTGAGCTGGGATGGAAGTGAAAGACAGAAAACTGTACTTGAACAAAAATTTTTTTAAAAAGTTACCCCAATGCTAAGACTGCTAGTATGGCAGCCCATGACAGCCCATGGCAGCCCATGGCAAAGCAGAGATTCTTAGTACAAAATATTCCTAGCAAATGCTCCATGATCGCTTAGGCTGGAGGCTCAAGAGACTTACTTAGGGCATGACCATATAAAAACGATCCCATTAGATCGTCCTTCATAGAGGTGATGTTCAAAGTTCGGTTTGGAGATAAGTCAGGCTGGTTGCAGGGTGACTTGTTAGGGTAGAAGCTAGTGTTTCCTAGCACAAGGTGAAAAATTGTGAAATAGCCTTATAATTTCCCGAGGGCATATAACCTTTCAGTTAAATTGCAATTGCCAAGGTCTATGCAAGTTGGCAGATGCTGAAGAAAACACAGTTTTTGCCTAATCATTTGGTTAAATTGGCATTTGTTTCCTCCCATTCTTCTATTTTGCACTTGAGAATAGAGCCCATGTTTTCTAAGTCAGTTCTTTTTATTTGATTATAAAAGGCAGAGCCTCTTGCCCCCCAAACATGGCAACATTAATGAATTGAAAACAGATTTTTCCCAACTTTCAAGTGTGTTCCATACTCTTCCTAAAAGGCATATTAAATGATTCTACATGAGCAGGCTAAACTGTTTTATACTTTTGTATACGTTTGTGTGTGTGTGCAAAAGTAATGTGAACAGTTCAGGGGAAATATTTCAACTGTTTGAATACAGAGTTGGACTTCCCTTTCTCCTGAAGGGATGTATTTTCTTTGCTTACCATATTCATTGGGGTTTTAATGTTTAATGATCATGGTATTCAAAGTCATAGCCCATGATTGCCACCCCTTCCCTCAGCCAATCTAAAGGAGATTTCTGTGCTGTCAAAGGCCTATTTCACATCTCTTATGCAGTTTCTTCAAAACATCTTACAGTTACCAAGCCTAAATTGTATTAAGGATCTCTCTCTCCATCATTCCACAAACTTGTCCCTCCTCCAGTTTTCTCTGGTACACCTGAACATGCAGAAAAACTTAAAGAAATCTGGGACTCATTCTTGTCATTTTCCTCTTCCTTGTCATACTCTCCCATGCTATTCTTTGCTGTGTCTTGCTGATTCTCTCAAATTCCTTTTTGAGATCCATAAGCTTCTACCCACATCCTCAGTCTAGCCACCAGCCATCATCACATCAACAGCAATAACCTCCTATCAAGGGCACTACTTTCACATGAACCCACCTCAAATTCACCAGCTACAATGATATGTTTAGTTATAAATTATAATAATTCATTCTTTCTCTACAGTCCCAAATCCTTATCATAACCTGCAAGCCCCTGCATGATCAGGTTTTTGTCTGTTTATCTGCCACCTACTTTCCTCCTTACTCACTGTACTCCAGCCCACTGGCTAAATTTTAGTTTCTGGGATGCATCTAACTTAGGGCCTCTGTACATGTTCTACCTTTGGTCTCTGTTGCATACTCTCTGCTCACAACCTGAAGTACCTATTTCTAACCCTTTGTGTCTTTAGCTCAAAACAACTTCTCTCTAAATTACATTCTTGCTGAAATGCTCACAGCACCCTAGTTTATTTTTCCTAACCACAGGATGATGTTAAACTAGTTTCTCCCGTACTAGTATGAATGAATGAATAATAACGGATAAATAAAGTATACTGTCTGGGGTCCTCCTGCTATGCTCTGAGTAGAGTGAGGCAGTGGTTGTATCTTCTTGGAATTCTCTTTCTCTTTTTTGATATAATCTTTATGGCATTTTTTCCCATTACCATTTCGTGCCTTTATACTCCCTTCCTCCTAGAAACCACCGCGTTGTTGTTCACATCCATGAGTTTTTTTCCTTTTTGCTCCATCCCTCCACCCTCTAATCTACCCACACCCAGCTGTAATCTTGCTCTCCATCTGTGAGTGTGTCCCCATTTTCCTGTTAGTTCAGTTTGTTTGTTTGATTCCACATATGTGTGAAATCATATAGTATTTGTCTTCTCTGACTGGCTTATTTTACTTAGCATAATGTTCTCTAGGTCCATCCATATTGTCACAAAGGGTGATTTTTTACATTTTTACAGCTAAGTAGTATTCTATTGTGTAAATGTCTCATAGTTGTTTCATTCATTCATCTATTGATGAACACTTGGGCAGCTTCCAAATCTTTGCGATTGTAAATAAACCTACAATGAACATAAGGGTTCTTATGTTCTTTCAAATTAGTGTTTTAGGTTCCTTTGTATATATTTCCAGAAGTTGGATAGCTGGGCCAAAAGGAAGATTCATTTATTCATTTTTAATTTTTGAAGTATCTCCATACTGCTTTCCATAGTGCCAGTACCAGTCTGTATTTCCACCAATGGTGCAAAAGGGTTCCCCCTTTTCCACTTCCTCAACAGCATTTGCTATTTGTTGATTTATTGATGATAGCCATTATGAGAGATGTGAGATGATATTTCATTGAGGTTTTCATTTCCATTTCTCTGATGATTAGTGACATTGAGCATCTTTTCATATGTCTATTGGCCATCTGTATATCCTTTTTGGAGAAGAGTCTATTCAGGTCATTTGCCCATTTTTAAATTAGATTGTTTGTTTTTTTGGTGTTGCATTTTGCAAGTTCTTTATTAATTATGACTGTTAAGTCTGTATCAGATGTATCAGTGAATATGTTCTCCCATGCTCTGGGTCATCTTTTTTTCTTTTTTGTATTATGGTTCAACAACAGCTGTCACCATTTCTCCCCCACAAGTCCCCCACAACCTAGCCATCCCTACTTCCCATCCTCTGCTTCCCATCCTCTGCCTTTGTCCATGTATCCTTTATACATGTTGCTTGACAATCCTTCCCATCCCCCCCCATTACCACCACCCACCTCCCTTCTGGTTACTGTCAGTTTGTTCTTTATTTCAATATCTTTGGCTATATTTTGCTTGCTTGTTTGTTTTGTTGATTAGGTTCCACTTATAGGTGACATCACAAGGCATTTGTCTTTCACTGCTTGTTGTATTTCACTT